TCTTTTGGGCACATACCCAGCAGTGGAGTTTCAGCACGTTTTTAGTACTTAGCTGCTTCCTGCTGCTGCCAAACACACTTTGGTTTTCCATGTTGATAATATAGATATTCTTTTAATAGCTTCAGCATATTTCATTATATAACTGGCCATAAATCTAACCCTTTTGTTAGTTACTTAGGGGATTATAAATAGTTTATTGTTATAAATGACACTTTATACATAAGCGTCCATGTACATATGTTTTTGTATATTTATGTGATAAATTACTAGAATTGCTGGGTCAGATCATCTGTATATTTTTTAAGCTTTTGATAGATATTGCCAAGTACAAAGCTCTAGCAATTTATGCTGCCTTTATAAGGCCATGTATGAGAATACCCTTTTCTCCACACCTTTGCTGTGATTTTCTTTTTAATCTTTGTCACAATCAAAAGCAAAATGTAGCTCACTTTTCAGCCATCATCGAGGGTGATTTTTTTTTAATGTTCATTTGAATTTGTATTCTGCCTTTTGTGATATCTTTGTGAACTAGGAAGATAAGCTGAATTATGCATGGGTCCAAGCCCTCAAAGCCAGCCTGGCTCAGTTAGTAACTAGTCACTGCCTTGGGTTAGTAAATGTATAATCTTTCAGCTGCATCAGGATGTTCACCAGAGGTGTGCTGTACACCACCATCCTCACACCTCCACTGGCAGTGCTTTGCAGTATGTAAACCCTGATAATCATGGCCTTTTCATGGGGCATTGCACCACCAGCCAGCACTGGACCTGCTCTGTGTCACTCAGCCATCTCCTCAGCCTGCAACATGGGTCCTGTGCCCCCAACCTCAGCTCCAGCCCCAGGCCGCTGGACTGTCCTCACGGGGCTGACCTTATTCTCCACAGTGATGCTGGTGGACAGGGGCCGAGACCCGGGGGTGAGACAGCAGAGGCCAGGCCATCTCAGAGTCTGTGTCTGTTCCACTGCTAGGCAAATTTTTGGCAGTATGTTTTTTTGTATAACATAGGCAAGCATAATGTCCAGTAGTTTTGTTTCATTTTACATGTCTTAGATGTTAACATATTAATTTCTTAGTACACATTCATTGATCACTCACTATGTAGTAGGTCCCGTACCAAGTGCTAGAAATTCTGAGATTAAAAATATAGTCATGGGCTTCCCTGGTGGTGCAGTGGTTGAGAGTCCTCCTGCCGATGCAGGGGACACCGGTTCGTGCCCCGGTCTGGGAAGATCCCACATGCTGCGGAGCAGCTGGGCCCGTGAGCCATGGCCGCTGAGCCTGTGCGTCCGGAGCCTGTGCTCCGCAATGGGAGAGGCTTTAAAAGACTGATTTTAAATTACTAAAATCTCTCTGCCAATTCCCAAGTTACCATTAATAGCAACATTTTCTCCTTTTCTGGAATATATATATATATATATAGTCATTGCTCTCCAGCAGGTGATGGTTAGCAGGGAAGAGCAGAGAGATTCATGAACAGATAATTATAATTGAATTTTAATAGTTTTAGTGAGAGGAATAATTAGTGTGATGGAAATAGAGGTGGGGTACTGTGGAAGGGACTCTCGTGACGATAAGAAGTATTCAGGGAATGCTTTCCAAAAGAACCACTGCCTAAGGAAAAAGTGGAACTTAGCCAGGTACTGCAAGGGGAAGAGACATTCTGGGCAGAGGGAAGGGGTGTACAGAGGCTCAGGGACCTGTGAAAATATTTCATGTTCAGTAAATGAATTTTAAGCAGATGATTTGACTGTATATGTGGTGGTAAGAAATGAGGCAGGAAAGGGCCAAGTTATGAAGAGCCTCACGCCATGCTGAGGCATGTCTTAAATGTGGAAACTTATTACACATTCCTCACTTTGAGTATCAAAGAAAAAATAATTTTCCAAATTATTTAAATTTTTAAAAACATGCTTAAAGAAGAAAACTACCTTTTATTTCTTGATTCAGTTAAAAAGAATTGTCTTGTTTCTGCTAAGTAACTGCATTATTAAAATGTGTATGGCATTTAAACCAATCTTGAGAAAGCAGAACTGGAAAAAAGAATAGACATAGAACACCCACAAGTTGGTGGAATCGTGGTGAAGGAAAAATAAACCATGTGTATCAGTCTTTCATGTCTACTAGAAGAGGGGAAAACATATAATTTATTTTCACTTCCCAAGTGAAAGTTTACCATAATCAAAGCAAGAAAACAGCCCAAGATGCTGGTTTCCATTCCTTAAAGAATTTATGTTTCCTTTGAGATTGAACATTTTCCATCAACAGCAAATAAAGTAGCCAAGCTGCTAGGGATTTGATATGATGGCTTAAAACCTTCTGCCTTTCAGGATAGGTTCAATCAGGAGACAGATTAAACCACACAGTAATTTAAATAGAGGAATGTAATAAGAAGTTATTAAACTATAACAGGAAACTATAAAGACATGAAGAAAACTCTAAAGGGTACCCTAGGAAGGACAAACTTGGAAGGGGACCCACTTCCCAAGGCTGAGGTTCATATCTCACTGAATGCTGTGGTGGCAGCTCATTGGATGGTGGAGGTCAGTGGGTTGCTTGGGCCAGAGCTGATCCTCAGTCACCAGACAAGCAGAAGACAAGACAAACCTCCCTGGTCTAAGTGAGCTGTGGCTGGTGAGCAGGCACACAGAAGTTGTCAGGGCACCAGGTGGCTGTGTGAGATATGAGTGTGCCGTATCCGCATTAGGAGGGCCCAGTCACTGAGGCTGCCCACTCTGGGCGTGTGGCCGGGGAAGTGGGACACCAGATGTCCTCACATATCCACACCAGTGATCAGCCATGCAGAAGGAGCAAGAACACACAAAACACTGCACCTTGCCCACTACACTCCAAAACCAGGGAGCAGAAGCGCTTCCTCCTGCAGTCTCTCCGCTGTCCTCTCTGGCAAAGTTTTCCGGTGTGTTCACTATAAAAGAGAACATGCTTACGGTCCAATCCATTTTCATAGACCACCTATAGAGTGATTTGGAGCTCAGTGAATAGATCAATAGATAACTGGCACAGGATCTGACTGTTTAAAACCCTGACCCTTTCACCTGTGTCTGGCTTTTAATTGAGAAAGAAATTAAAAAGCCCCTGACACCCAGGAACTGATCTAGCTCTCAGCTCAGCCTCCCTATCACTGTAGACTGATTGGATGCTCATAGCTGAGCCATGTTGCTCTGTAGAGCATAAACGGTCTCACGGGACCATCCACTCCAAGCAAGGTCACTGTGCAACCCACAGAATAGCAAACACCCTCTTCCCTCAAGCTGCCTGGTATTTGGGGGTTTTTTTGTGTTTTTTTTTTGCGGTATGTGGGCCTGTCACTGTTGTGGCCTCCCCCGCTGCGGAGCACAGGCTCTGGACGCGCAGGCTCAACGGCCATGGCTCACGGGCCCAGCCGCTCCGCGGCATGTGGGATCCTCCCGGACCAGGGCATGAACCTGCGTCTCCTGCATCGGCAGGCGGACTCCCAACCACTGCGCCACCAGGGAAGCCCTGGTATTTGTTTTTTAGAAGTATTCCTGTAAACAGGTTTTCACCTAAAATTTTATAATGAATCAAATAAGGAAAATTTTAAATACATGTAGGCTATGGATAGCTGATGATTCATGACCAAAATCCCATTGTAGACTATTAAAGATAGTCATTTACAGATTATAAAACAACACAAGAAAAAATTTTAATAGAAAAACATCCTGCTTTTGCGTGGTTGGGTGTTCTTTGAGTTTGATATGAACCAAGTAGCATCGGATCATTTCCCTTAACCTTTTTAAAAAGACTTCCCCAGAGTCTTACTCCCCCAGATTTTACTGTATTTGTGCACAATAAATTCTGTGAGAGAATTATTACAATTCCACAGTATCCATTCTGAAAACCAAACTTTTTTTGGAAACTCATTTGTCGGCAAAATCAGATCTGAACCAAAGTGACCCTATTTAAGTTCTTTGAGTATACTGGGACACTCATATAGTTTGCTGCAGAAACATTAATGTATTTGATTATAGGGTGCTGCTCTGGATATTTCAAGTATGTGTGGTATGCACAATATTACCTTTCTAAATTAAAAAAGAGAAAATCTGAATTCTGAAACACGTCTGCCTCTGAAGGTTTAAATAGGGATATAGACATATGTATGTATAGCATCCTTGGCAGAGTGGTTTTAGAGGGCACTTTATGTGTAGCTATGTGAGTTGATGAATGTTCACTAATTTTTTTCTATATATATATATATATATATATATATATATATATATATATATATATCAAATCATCATCTTGTACACCAAATGTTATATGTCAATTATATTTCAATAAAACTGGGGGTGGGGTGAGAAGGCACTTTAATACTGTGGACAGTTTTTAGTTTTGATAGATTAGTTCGTGTAAACAAAACACAACAAAAAAACCAACCTCTAATTTTCTGGTAGCTTTCACTTTGTCCCTAGATTTGAGTTGGAGGTTAATGTAGGAAGTGTGACTATGAATGCATATATCTGTTGACTTTTTGTACCCACAAAATGAAGGCTAAAATAAATATAATAAGGATAACTATAGGCTATAGCCATGATCATTTATACAAGAAAAACAGAGCCTCTGAATTGAGGATTGCGTAGATATACATGTATATAAAAAGTGATCAGTAGCAATATTCTTACACATTTTAAATGGGAGAAGTGCCAAGAGCAATTTTATTAGTTCTTATTTGCTTTGCATTTTGAGGGAATGTCAATACACATACCAGTGTTTTCAGAAGCAAAAAGCTTAATGATGTTTCCCACCTACTCATACCCCCTTAAAACCATTCAGTGAAACCATTTAACTCTTTAATTATGGTGGAATAGAGCTGACCTCTTTTCTGCATGGTCATGAAGAAACATTTTACTTATTTATTAGCACACGAATTTTTTCTGGAAATTGATATTTTCAAGCTTAATGCAGTGATTATGTTTTGACTTGTAATCTTCCCCTCCATTTTTGTTGTTGCTGTTCTGTACAGATTATCAACGCCTGATGACTGTGGCGGAAGGCATCACCACACTTCTGTTCCCATTTCAGTGGCAGCATGTTTATGTGCCCATCCTCCCTGCTTCTCTGCTACATTTTCTTGATGCTCCTGTCCCTTATCTGATGGGCCTTCAGTCAAAAGAAGGAACTGACCGTTCTAAGCTAGAACTTCCTCAAGAGGTAAAAACTTACAGTGAACGATGAAGCACTTGCTGTTTGTTGATTTAGGTCAAACCCCACTTTTGTTAGATAGCATTGTCTTTGTCTGAACTGAGTCTCTGGCTATTCTGCTTCTTCCAAGTAGGTCTAGGGCAGAGGCTCAGCCATAGAATGCAGATCCTGATTCCTGATGATTATTATATGACATAGTCATTAATTAAACATGGATCAAAACAGGACAGTGGCAAATTTTCACAGCTGTAAATTTGTGAAGATGGAGCACTAGTAGTATTATCTAGGAGCTTTATTATTTTAATAACATTTTATTTCTTTTTCCCTATTCCTGTTATAAATTTTGTTTTTAAGTGGTACAGCCCAATTTTAACATCCTTTAAATTATTGTATTAATTGAGGTGAATTTGATTCTTGACCTCTATCAAATGAAAAGTAACATCTTTCAGCAAGCTAGGGATCATGGAAATATTAAATACTTTAGTAGTCTGTTTTCAGACGTAAGGCCAGTTATCAGCTTTTTCTAAATGTTAGCTTAGCTCACTGGTTGCGATGAAAATTCTAACCCTTAGCTTTTAGTCTACCTTAAGATTACTGTGCTTTCTGTGTGCTATATTTTCAAATGTTGTTTCAGAAGAAAATAAACAGGAATTCTTGAAAGCATTTTGAATCTAATTTTTAGCTGTTAATGGTACTCAGAATTGAAATGTAAAGCCTTTGAATTGAAATATTGATGACAGTGCCATGGCCTATTAAAAAACATAAAATGGTTAATTACATTATATTATTCACTATTTAATTAGCACCTTTCTTAATAAAATCTTTCATGCTGTGCTTCACTCTTATTTGTTCTTATTACCCATAGAGATTCTCATTTTAATAAATGAATTTAAAATAACACACTGAGCCACAGACGTTATACCCAGTAATGATTCCTGTAATCATCCACTGCTTACTTTATTCTAATGAATGTTTCCCTACCAAAATTAACATTTTTGTTCAGGGGAAAATAGCTTGATTCAGATCATATAAAATACACATGCAAACTGTTTTGCTCTTTTTTTGAGCTTGTGCACGTTCTCTGCTTCTCCCTCTCTCTTATACCTCTTTTTTCTAATACCTGAACTCTCATTTTCTCTTTTATTAAATTAGTCTAAGTATCTTGTTGGTTCAAAGAAGTAAGTCCTTTAAATTTTTAAGGAAAAAGAAATAGACTAGCCAAATGCATTTTGTTTTCTTTTCTTTTCTTTTTTCTTTTTTTTTTTTTTTGCGGTACACGGGCCTCTCACTGTTCTGGCCTCTCCCGTTGCGGAGCACAGGCTCCGGACGCGCAGGCTCAGCGGCCATGGCCCACGGGCCCAGCCGCTTCGCGGCACGTGGGATCCTCCCGGACCGGGGCAGGAACCCGCGTCCCCTCCATCGGCAGGCGGACTCTCAACCACTGAGCCACCAGGGAAGCCCATGCATTTTGTTTTAAAGACTTAAACAGTGACATGTTTTAGCTTCTTGTTGAGTATCTGGTCTCTTTGCATGTTAATGAAATATATTTTTAGACACATAAATATTATCTTTCCATTTTTGCATGAGTAATAATTGTTGAGAAATTTTAAATGCCACCTTGATGTATTTGTCAGGAAATCTTTCTGTCTCTATGCCTGTGTGTATCCTCTGACTCTAAAAATAAACAAACTTAAAAATTCTGAAAGCTGTTACAGTAATGTCTGTGATTTTCTAATTTTTCATTCACTAAACCAACACTATTTAATAAATATACATACTCATGTTTTCATAGAGTAGAATAATAAGAAATAACCTGAATCAGCTGTGAAAAGAACACTGCTTCTGTATAGAAAGTATTCATTAGTGCATTACTGTTTTATAGGAAAAGGCTAATAGCATATCACTTTGCTCTGGTTTCATTTTACAATGAGATGAAATAATCTACTCCACAGAATTTGGAGGAGGAAGTGGGTATAAAAATAGTCATTTTAAAAAAGTGACTGGTAATACCCTCCCTTGCCTTGAAAACTGTAAAATAAACTAATAGCTAAAAATAGTGAGAGGACTTCTTAGAATAGTTGTGAAAATAAGTTTACGAAATGATTATTTTAAGAAGACATGATTTTAGTTGTTAGCTAAGTAATATAACTACATAGACTTATAATGAACTACCCACTCACTTGCCCCATGATTCCAAAATGACAGGCACAGGTAGCGATTTGTTATATTGTTTTGGTCGGGGGAGGGGGGGGAGAGTGATGGTGGAAGGATGTGGCACTGGGGATTAGTTGCATAGACTGTACCTCATTTTCTACCATTCTTGCTCATCTTTACAGTGAACGGTAGACAAAAAAATCTAGGGAAAAACTGAAACAGCATTGCTTTGCTACTTTCTTTTTGTCATATCTTGCCCTAAAATTTTATGAAAATGTTAAATGTGCCCCTCTGGCTTACCCTTATACCAGCTTAACTTCAGCTATTGAGAAACCAGGACTCTTACCAAACATGAAGAGGGCTGCCCTGGACTCACATTCCTGGATACTTCTTCCTCTTGCCTATATTTTTAAGGTTCCACAAAATGACCATGTCCTTAAGCCTTATTCATTCATTCATCAAACAGTTGTATCATACACTACTAGTGTACAATATACTGGGAGACATCTAGAGAAAAATGTCACCTTTAAGAGGTGATTTCTGATTTCCAAAATAAGACATTTACAAATATCAATAACACAGGCTAAAAAAAAACGAATAAGAGGAATGAAAGAACTAAGAATATATACAGAGGAAATCAAGATGCCTTTAAGATAGGAACATGGGAAGCCTTCATGGCAGAAGAGATCATTAAGCTTCAAGTCCTTGTCCCCTACTTTTGAGGGAATGTTTGTTGTTTTTAATTGGAAGTAATTACATATGAAGGCTTCTGGGCAGTGTTAATCAGTAAAAATATAGAAATATTTAGTTCTAGGGACTTCCCTGTTGGTCCAGTGGTTAAGACTCCGTGCTCCCAATGCAGGGAGCCTGGGTTCAATCCCTGGTGGGGGAACTAGATCCCACATGCATGCCGCAACTAAAAGCGCCTGCATGCCACAACAAATTTCCCGCACGAGGCAACGAGGATTCCACGGGCCACAACTAAGACCCGGTACAGCCAAATAAATAATTAAATATTTTTTAAAAAAGAAATATTTAGTTCTAAAACATCATAAGATTGAGATGTTGAGTATATTTTTTATTCTTGAGTTCTTAAATTTTTTTTTTAATTTAATGGTGTTAAAAGTGAGAAACTGACTTAGAATACTCTATTGTATGGAGTTCTTATCTGTTTTAGAAAAAGGGCTTTTTGGTTTTTCTTCAATAAATTTTTATAACACAAGTTTACATTCCCTGTTTCTACTTTGTAATAATCAATGCCCCAATTCAGGCCCCTGTAAGTCAGCATAGGAGGGTGAGAGAGACTCGCGGGAACATGAAGACAGGCCCATAGCTGTGGTGCTGGAACATCCACCTTGCTGCACATTTTTGGCTCAGCAGTGATTACATGAGCATAACAAGCTTTAAAATTTCCCCAAATGTATCATTTTTCTCTTTTCACAGGGGAAGGAGAGGTATAGAAAAGGATAGCAGGAAGGCATTAATGAAGGATACAGTACAAAATGTAAGTGGTGAGAGGTTGCTGGTTAACATTTAGATTAGCAAGTTAGTGAATTTTTTCTTCCATTTTTAAAGATATTGAATCATCCATCTGAATTATGGTGACCTAGTTTCTCCCTTTAAGCCTTACAGTATATCCTACTTTCTAGAGACTGTAGAAACATATATAAAGATGTGGATTTAAATAAAGCTGTAATAGCACTACTATCTTCAGTAAGATGTGACTTCAGCTTATACTTTATTTAGAGAAAACTATTGACATTGGAGATGAGGCATAATGGAGAAGAAAAAAATCCCTTAAGCTACCAGGCTGTTTGAGGGTGCGTACCTGGAACAGGTGTCAGGAAGTCACCTACCTTCTTGGGCCTCAGTTTCTTCATCTGCAGAATTAAAGGGTTGGATTCAAAGGTTATTTTAGGCTTGAAGAATCACTGTTGATTCTGTTTTTGGATGGTGGAAAATCTTGAGTTTTTATCAATCTTAATTTGGAATTTTGCTATACTTCTTGCTTATCAGTATCTAACATGAAGAACAGGGATCAAACAAAAATAACAGGGACTTACCTGGTGGTGCAGTGGGTAGGAATCTGCCTGCCATTGCAGGGGACACAGGTTCAAGCCCTAGTCCAGGAAGATCCCACATGCCGCGGGGCAACTAAGCCCGTGTGCCACAACTACAGAGCCCATGCACCACAACTACTAAGCCTGTGCTCTAGAGCCCGTAAGCCACAACTACTGAAGCCCACACGCCTAGAGCCCATGCTCCACAGCAAGAGAAGCCACCACAGTGAGAAGCCCACACACTGCAATGAAGAGTAGCCCCCCCACTCACCACAGCTAGAGAAAGCCCAGGTGCCGCAATGAAGACCCAATGCGGCCAAAAAATTAGTTAATTATTTTTTAAAAATTTGACATTAAAAAAAAAAAGGAGAGAATAACAGAAGCCTAATTGTTTGCTCTCCTCTTTTCATCTTACCTTGGCATTCAGGATCAGAAGACAGTATGAATTCTCTCCTTGCTGACCTGGGGGCATTGTTGAGGGGCGGGGAGATGGGGAAGCATGAGGTGAGGCTTCCTATTCTGTTTATTGACTTCACCCCATGCCTTGTGTCCAGCTACTAATCCAGTCAGGATCAGTTTTATGTGATGGACTACCTTGCCCCCCTCCTCCTCCCCAGTTTAGGAGCTTAGTTTTCCTTTATTCTGACAACCTTGTTCTGATCAAGAGGGTATGAACAGTAAAGGTAAAATACTGTTTTTGTATATACTGTCATCAAGTACCTGAGGGACAATGCAAATTTTAGGCAGGTACTTAGCCCCTTGAATTTTCTATATCTATTTGAAAGATGTTTAAAAGTCTTTTAATTCAAAATCCAAAGTGTAAACAAACTCAAAAAACATTTCCTCTTATTTCTGTCTCCTCTTTTCCTCAACTCAAAAATGTTCAAGTCAAGTCTGAGTTACCCAAGGGTTGGTCACTTACCTTTCTCTAGGCACTTGCGTCCACTGCTCTCTGCCTCCTGCTCTTCGTCCAGTGGCTTCTGAAATGGTTTTGCCATGTAAGAGGTTGAAGCTAATTTTAGATAAAGTGAAAATTTGTGGGTTTTCTGTGGACTGGATTGCTCTTTGCCAGTTTCATTCCATTTTGGGGTACTATAGCTGCTAAATTTTAGCAGTTATTGCTAATTCTACATTATAAACGGTGTTAGAGCAGTGGAATGGCATAGAAAGTTCAAGCTCAGTAAGCATTTTATTTTCACCAGTGCCTAATTTGTAAGGTACTATGAGTCTGTGTGCTTTTACCTGTCTTAAGGAAAGTCTATTCGATGTCATGTATTACAGAGTTATATCCAGATTATAATAAACTGATGAGACCCAGGGGAAATGATTCATATATATTAAATATATACTTATATATTCCCTCACATAGGGAAAAATGCTGGCAACAGAGATTTATTTTTAAAGAATAAAATATTCTTAACTCTGAGAAGGTTAACATAAAAGGCAGTGCAACCTTTTCTTTATAATAGTTGATTTTGTTTATAATAGTTGGCAAGAATATTTTAGAACATAAAATTACTATAAAACCTTTGTATTTTTTAATTGATACTTTTAGCATTTTATTAAGTAAAAGTTTTTTAAATTAATTTTTTAATTGAAGTATAGTCGATTTACAATGTTGTGTTTGTTTCTGCTGTACAGCAAAGTGAATCAGCCATACATATACATATATCCACTCTCTTCTAGACTCCATTTCCATACAGGTCATTACAGAGCACCGAATAGAGTTCCCTGTGCTATATACAGCAGGTTCTTATTAGTTATCTTTTATATATAATAGTGTGTATATGTCAATCCCAATCTCCCAATTTAAAAACCTTTGTATTTCTTTTTCCTCTTTCAGGCTAATTTGTGTTTTGTGGATATTGACAACCATTTTATTGAGTTGCCTGAAGAATTTCCACAGTTCCCCAATAAAGTAGATTTTATCCAAGAACTCTCTGAAATTCTTCTTCAATTTGGGATCCCTCCTGAGGGCAGCCTACATTGTAGTGAGAGTGCCACCAAGCTAAAGAATCTGGTTCTGAAAGACTTGGTCAATGACAAGAAGAATGGGAACGTCTCTGCTAATAACATTAGCGTGTATGAGTTACTGAAGGGCAACGAAACCATAGCCCGCCTCCAGGCTCTAGCCAAGCGGACTGGTGTGACCGTGGAAAAAATGGACCTCTCTGCCTCTTTGAGTGAAAAAGAAAAAGATTTAAAACTGCAGTGTGAAGAGGCAGAACTAAGGGACTACCAGCTCAACGTACAGCTCCGAGAGGTCTTTGCTAACCGCTTTACACAGATGTTTGCAGATTATGAAGCGTTTGTGATTCAGACTGCCCAGGACATGGAATCTTGGCTGACCAACCGGGAACAGATGCAGAACTTTGACAAAGTAAAAAGAAGCAGAGTTTCCCTTTTTATGGTTCTTAGTGGGCTATACATTACTGATTTTGTTAACTTTTTTAAAATACAGATTTTTCCGCCTCTCCTTTCCCTTTACGAACTCTTTTTTACCAGTATTTTATACTATATAAAATAATTTCACTGGAAAGTATAAATCAACTAGCTCATTAAGCTGTTCATTGAATTATGTATTTAATTGCCTTTAACCTTATTTTTAACTTTTCTAATACTTTGAAGATGTTTGAAATGAAACTTAAATTCCATGTTTTTCAAACCTGTTAATACTATCTCACCTTGTACGCATTTTATTTACTCATATTTTAGGATCAAGTCTAGTTAAATGAGGCCTATTCCTTTTCTAATAAATCCTTATTCTTATATTTTGTCTTCGTCCTGCAATGAAGTCACAACTTGCCCATGTAAAGGTAACAGTTTACTTTCAGAAGGTAAATTTTTATCTCATCTTAGGATCAAAAGAGAGAAAAAGTGAAGTTTTATGAGAAAAATGAGTTTTTATGTTTTAACCCTTTCTGCATATTGTACAGACAGGGAGACTGAGGCCAGAGACCTTCTCTGGGTCACGCAATCCTTATATAATCTACCACTATCTCCTGGATACCAGTAAAAGCTGCATTTACTTCTAGGAGGGTATTTAGAGGACGCCTGAGCCTGGGAGGGGGTGCTTGAAGGGACTTCAGAAATAGTCCCCCACTTCACTTTCTCCCCTTGCCTGTTCCGACTCCCCGTGGTCAGGTCACTAGGGTGTAGTTCAGTCCCTTGCCTCTGTGATTGCCAAGGCATGATATTGCTATTAGAATGAATTATGGCTTTTTGCTAAATAGTATCTTTGTATCATGAAAGACTGCTCAAAGGGGCTAATATGTTCTAAGAGGCTAATCTACAATCTTGGAGCATCTGACAATTAAGAATTAATAAAAAATTTTTGTAAAGGTGGGTGGTATAAAAGATTATTTTCTGATTTCATCAGATTTTTTTAGATGAGTTATATAAACCACATTTAACAGTTAATTTCTGATGTACTTTATGTTTGAGAAAACTTCTTTAATAAATTAAGAAGCTTTCACCTCTCCAAATGTATTCTTGCTCTTAGTTTCCATTCTCATTAAGCTTAACCATTTTTCCACATTTTTTCCTAGCCAGCTTGGAACTAATCTGTGTATACTCATGATTTATCCTTGGAGCAATTCAAATTCTTATCTAAATTGAGCACTGGTACTTTCTTCCTTCTTAATCTTTATGTAGCTTCAAACTATAAATGGAATTCTTTTTATATAACCCCTAGAGAAATGAAAGTTTCATGTTGGATTCCAGAAGGCTTGTAATCATCTCATTTTCACTAGGAAAATTTACAGGACTATCACATAGTAGTCCTGCAAGCCAAGTCTTTGCTGCCTTAAGTGATGTAGCCCACAAGGATCTGAATATCAAAAGCCAGACATTTGGTCCATTTAGGAAAAAAGGCTGTTTGCTCTGTGAAAAGTAAAATTGATATTTATCTGTAAAATATCTTTTGAAGAGGTGAACTATTTCTGGAGATGACTGTGAATCTTTCTTTGGTTATTTGGATTTGTGTGACTACATCTGAACTATTGAGACACTTAAATTGAATAAGTGGATTTCTGTAAGGAAGTTTTTCAAAGCTATCCTAAATTTCAGAATTTATTTCCTAAATAAATATGCTAGGAGGAAGCTAGTGAGTATTAAGGAGAGTAACCTTAGGTCAGAACTTATCCTTCCACCTTTCCCCTTCTGGCTTTTGCCACATTGCACCTAATCAAAAGAATGAAAAGCAACAGTAACCCCACAGCTGAAATAGTAATCCACTTCCAAATTTTAGCTGGTGTCAAATTGTGGCTAGAATTCCTCTACACACATGTACCTGAAGAGCCAAAGGAAAAAAATGAACCCTTTGAATTAGAAACTGATTACAATTTACTGAAACATTCCATGAAAGCAGACAAGCTGGTAACAGGAACATGTGGCTGGTTGTACATGTTTTCCAAAGGCTTGGCTTGCTTTGGATGGTTTTTCAGGCAGTGCTTTTTTTTAGTTGTTAAGACCCAAACTATTCTTTCAGCACAGGTCTGGATGGAGTTTGATCTTTAACTAATACTCATCCATCAGTTTTTAACTGTGGGGGCCTAGGAAAACATCCCCCTGAACCAAAGATTTTACCCATAAGCACAAATTCCACGTTGTTGGATTTTTTAAGGTTATTGCTTATGTATATCTTATTATTGTATCAGTTAATCACCTCGATGCCTTATGACTTGGAGGTATTTGGCACAGGCTAGGAATAGAGAGCAAAAGAAATTACAGCTCACTGGGGAAAGGGGTCAAATTTAATGGTAAGTGAAGAGAACGATTGATGATCGTGTAGCAACTGATCCACCAACTTTCATTAATGATGCTTTTTTTTCTGCATAATGGTCATGAGGACCAGAACGTAAATCAGTTTTGAAAGGTGGGATCAGTGCTGAAGAACTAAGTGACCTAAATTCTATGACTTTAGAAGATAGGAAGAAAAAGTGGAGTTTTAAGGATTTTTAAATTTCAAGCATCAGTTTTGTGTGTTATAAGATTGTGAAAAGGAATGATCTTAGCAACAGATAATTTTTGGATTTATGATGTAGTATTGAGATGGTCTCTTTGCACTAATAATTGCCTAATTATCTCATTACAGGCTTCCTTTCTGTCTGACCAGCCTGAACCTTACCTGCCATTTCTTTCACGCTTCATTGAAACACAGATGTTTGCCACCTTTATTGATAATAAAATTATGTCTCAGTGGGAAGAGAAAGATCCTTTGCTTCGAGTCTTTGACTCTCGGATTGAGAAGATAAGACTGTATAATGTAAGGGCACCCACCTTGAGGACATCTATATATCAGAAATGCAGCACTTTAAAAGAAGCAGGTACATTTGTTATGTCTTTTAAAATTAACTTAAAATCCATGATCATATCTTTTTACACATCGTTGGCCTTATAAACCACAGAATTAATTTTCAATTTTAGACTTCTTCGTTAACCCTTGTACTCTATCAAGAGATGCTTTCTATTGTTTTGTTTCCTTCTGTTTTGTGAGCTAATGTCTGTCCTCTTCCTGCTTGACATTCCTCTTCCCTCAGAAGATGAAAAACAATAACAAATTGAATGGAATACAACTATAAGGTTGCTGTGAAACTGTTAATTTCTGTCTTGCTGCTTATTTTGCCTTTTTGCTTTTTACCTATTCTCTCTTCATCCAAGGAAAGATAAGTATTAATTTGAAATAGTAAATTTGAGTTGCTGCCTAATTTACATAACTAAAACAGTATATTTACTTTAGTGGTGCCATTAATTAAAATAGCTTCATTTACTGAAATTAAATCTCTAGATTCTTATATTCAAATTAGAGGTTCCCAACCCTGACATTAGTTTTGTCTCTCAGAGAATTATGAGTCTTGGCCAATCTTGTCTGGCAGTGTGATGTAGTCCATTAAATAAATAATCATATTAATAGTCAGTGTTTACTGAGTACATACTATGTGAGGGACATAATACCAGCTGTTTTACGTGCATTTTGACATTTGATCTTAATAACGAGGGGGTATAGATACATTTTATTGTCTGTTTTATTGCTGTCGTCATCTTACAGTTGAGAAAACTGAGAGGTTAAGTAACTTGCTGTGATTGCATAGCTTGTGACTGATTCTAGCCTCTGGAGTCTCACTACCACATTAGCTGTTCATTCAATAAATGAACATGTAAAATGTACCAGTCCACACAACTTTATACATTTATACCTGGTTCCTAACTCTTTCTTTGCCAAATAAACTGATAGCTATCACTTGAGTGCCCCTTCCTTTTATTTCTTCCCCTTCGTGTAGAAGTTATTCGAGAGCAATTTTTTTTTTTTCTGGAGCAGAAAGGGGCAGCAAATGTGGATTTTCTTTGCTCTGCCTCTGTTGCTTGCCTTTCTCACTTTATTTTATTTTATTTATTTATTTATTTATTTTTAATTTTATCTTTATTTATTTATTTGTGCTGTGTTGGGTCTTCATTTCTGTGCGAGGGCTTTCTCTAGTTGTGGCAAGTGGGGGCCACTCTTCATCGCGGTGCGCGGGCCTCTCACTATCGCGGCCTCTCCCGTTGCGGAGCACAGGCTCCAGACGCGCAGGCTCAGCAGTTGTGGCTCACGGGCCCAGCTGCTCCGCGGCATGTGGGATCTTCCCAGACCAGGGCTCGAACCCATGTCCCCTGCATCGGCAGGCAGACTCTCAACCACTGCGCCACCAGGGAAGCCCCACTCACTTTATTTTAAATAGATCAAAGTTACAGGAGTGGTGATGCTGTAGTTGTAGCATATTTTAAGGAAAGAAGTATATAAATGATGTCTCTTGTGTAGCCTTACAGGTTTCTGATGACTCACTGAAACATCATTCTGTTGTATCCCACTTATGAGGATAGATCCTTGGAGCCCCTTTAGGAAGTGACAATTGTTTCTGTGTTTCTAGAAGTTGAGGGGGTAGAGTGAATGAAAGTGTCTCTGCCTATTCAGAGAATAATATGACTTTCAGTGCTTTAATAGCCATGTAAATAGTATAATGCCTTGTTGAGCAAATTTTATTCCTCCCTTCCTGACAGAATTTTTTAAATGAAGTTAAGTGCTGATTGCTGTGTTTGTGTGCTTCTAGAAAATCTTTTCAATTAAAATAGATTTTCTATCAGCCTCTCAGTTTTATACTCCTACTGTCACTGCAGAAATTATATAAACTGTTGAAAATGTACCATTATAGCTTATATATGAAGTCCTTTTATTTTATGATGCTATTAAGAAAGCATTGACAAACAGACAGTATGTACCCAAAACACTTCTTTACTGCTTTTATATTAAAAGAGCTTTAAGAACAACAACAACAAAAATGTACCATTACAGATTTAATATATATGAAAAAGAGATTAGGCTAAATTAGGAATAGTCTCCCAGGAACTTAATTTATCAAAGACTTTCTTAAAAAGTAAAAGGAAGGCTTCCCTTGTGGCACAGTGGTTAAGAATCCACCTGCCAATGCAGGGAACACGGGTTTGAACCCTGTTCCGGGAAGATCCCACATGCTGCAGAGCAACTAAGCCTGTGCACCACAGCTACTGAGCCTGTGCTCTAGAGGCTGTGAGCCACAACTACTGAGCCCATGTGCCACAACTACTGAAGCCCACGTGCCACAACTACTGAAGCCCACGTGCCACAACTACTGAAGCTCACGTGCCTAGAGACCGTGCTCCACAACAAGAGAAGCCACTGCAATGAGAAGCCCGCACACCATAACGAAGAGTAGCCCCCACTCGCTGCAACTAGAGAAAGCCCGGGCGCAGCAATGAAGACCCAACGCAGCCAAAGATAAAAATAAAAATGAATAAATAAATTTATTTTTTAAAAAGTAAAAGGAGGCAGTCAGCTGTAACTATGTCTGTCTCACAGATGGTGCAGTTATTTCTTTTATCAGGTAAAATTGTCTCCTCCCCACCCTCACCCACAACAGAAACTAGAGAGACTAGGATTTTTTTGTTGACATTGGATTTTATTGTGTATCTTGGTTTTTTTTCTGTCCTTTGTTGTTTTGCTTTTGTTTTTGTTTTGCCTCTGACTAAAAAGAATTTTGATTTGCAGGTGAACTCTTTAGGCAGAGGCTATCTGCTGCTGATATTGTGGCACCAGAACCTCATGATTTCTGTGCAGAAAGACACCAAGTTGCTAGTAACGCAGAGTTTTCTTATTCCTTACTGATCACAGAAAATGAGTTTTGGCACAAACCCTTGAAAGTCTAACAACAGCCCCATGATCTCTCGAAGCAGGCATTTAATAATTTCTGAATGTTCAGTATTCACTGATGATACAATCACTGAAAAGTAGCATTGCGTTATGCTCCCTATGGAAATCTTATAAACCCTAGAGTAATTCATTGTGAATCATGATTTTTGTTTTTACAGAGCTTCCTAACTAAAGGAAAATAACTCAATATCAGATGGATTTTTTTCTGTCATTTTAAATCCAATGGAAAAACTGAAGCTACTTTTCCTTTTTTCCTTTTATGAGAACAGAAGCACTTTTTGGCAGAGATGGAATTCTGTAGTATTTCATGGAACATAAAATTGTCAGGGACTTCAGAGAATTACATGCCATGAGTCTAAGCATTATTTCTCTAACCATCTGTTAATTGTGTTTTATAAATATTAGGAAGCATTAAGAGTATAGATACGGTTGTGGAGAGTCAGGGGGCATCATTGAAAATTCAATATCATTTCACATTAAAATGTGGCATCCTTTTGCCCAACCTAGAACATATGGACTATGTTTCACGAGAAGTTACAAGTTACACATTAAAAATAAAATGAAATTCAAAAAGTTGTGGATAAATTCATATGAGTTATAAAGAAAAATTAGGGAAGCTTAAAACAGATATCTAACATTTTGAAGTTTAGGGTAATAATGCCTTCTGCACACATGCCTTAATGCTGCAAATGCAAACAACTGGCTGGGAGGCATCGATCTCACGTAAGATGGTCTTAAGCAGGTCCATTTGACAAGAGTGGAATGTGTCATGGGCAGACCCCTTCCCATCCAAAACAGAAATTTTTCTAGAGTATATATGGGGAAGAACCAGCAATACTCAATCTGCTGGTATTGAATGGGGCAAAATAAACTGATTCTATGAAATATTTGTAAAAATACCTGTTTACTTCTCTCAAATCCCAAGATTGGCAGTTCCCACGGTGTGTTCTGTTTATCACACAACCACACTTACTGCTTGTTCTCCTTGCAGTAATCTCTAGGCAAGGGATGGGAGACCTAATCTTGCTTCACAAGTCTTATATTTTTTCTTGAAAATTCAGTTGATAAAGGCATTTAAGATCAGATTTTTTACCAGAGAAATAGTTCACTGTTTCCTGGGTCTTTGAAACATCTCTCAACTTGATGTGGTTTTAAAATAGAAATGTTGAGTAATTCCTATTTTTTAACTCTGGCCTATTTTATTCTTCAAAAGGCAGTTTCTTATCCCCTGGACATTTTCTAAATGCCTGCTTATTTTATTTTTCTCTGCATTATGCCTTTTGATCTAATAAACACTCCTAAATGACTCCTACTAATGAGAATGTGTTGCTAAAAGTGAGGTGATAAACTTTACACAGTTCCTTGTTTTTACAAATGGAGAAGCATGAATATTTAATGGATCTTTGCACAAAGAAATAAAGTAACATAAGGCTACAGTGCTTGCTTTTTTCTTCCGTTTGTCTTTCAGCTCAAGGAAAATATTTTATTTGCCATCATTTTCTTTAATGTTGTACTTAGAACCATATTTTCATTAAGAATATTGAATTACCTACTTAAGGGAAACTGTTTCAATACTAAATTATAGATTTTTTTTTAATCCCGCTGCCCTGCTTTTGACAAATGCAGAAAATAGTATGAAAATGAATTATATAGTATTTACTTAAAACTAACCTTTTTATACTTAACATTATACTGATTTCTGAAGAGCTTTTGTAAAAATCTATTTCAGGCTATCAGAAAGGTTGAGTTTCTTGTCACTGCATGAATGGAGGAAGCATTATTTTTTAAGGTTTAGCCAATGAAATGTCTCTAATATGTTATGAATTTAATTTATAGCCCAGTCAATTGAGCAGCGACTGATGAAAATGGATCACACTGCAATCCACCCACATCTACTTGATATGAAAATTGGTCAAGGCAAATATGAGCAAGGGTTCTTTCCAAAGTTACAGTCTGATGTCTTGGCAACAGGACCAGCTAATAACAAGTAAGCATGTTCTTCACTTGAGTAGTTGGTTGAAGGAGTGAATAAAGGGCGCAGTGCTCTAATGGGCAATGCTTAACTATTAAACATTTTATCAGTCATTACTTTTTCAAAGACCAAATTAATCTGCTTGAAATATGAATTGACACTCAATGAGTATTTGACTTTTAATTCCATCATGTAAGAAAATCCAAAGACTAGATATTTTTCTCTTGTTGAAGTAATGTGCACTTGGGAATAGTTTCATTTTAAATGACTGTGTTTTAAATGTAATGCTAATAGTGTCTAACGGAATTAGAAAAGTTATGCCTTCACTGTCTGTATTAGTTTCCTAGGACTGCTGTAACAAAGTACTACAAACTTGGTGGCTTAAAACGAGAGAAATTTATTCTTTCATAGTTCTGGAAGCTAGAAGTCCAAAGTCAAGGTATTGGCAGCACCATGCTGCCTCCAAGGCCTATAGGAAAGGACCCTTCCTTGCCCCTCCCCACTTCTGGTAGCCCCAGGTGTTGTTTGGCTTACAGGAACATAACTCAGTCTCTGCCTCCTCTTCACATGGCTACCATCCCTCTGTGTCTGCTCTCCTCTTGTAAGGACACCAGTTATGTTGGATTAGGGCCCACCCTAAATGCCCTCATCTTAACTTGATTACATGTGCAAAGATACTCTTTCCAAATAAGGTGACATCCACAGGTGTTGGGATTAAGACTTCAGCATATCTTGGGGCTTCCCTGGTGGCTCAGTGGTTAAGAATCTGCCTGCCAATGCAGAGGACACTGGTTCAAGCCCTGGTCCGGGAAGATCCCAGATGCCGCGGAGCAACTAAGCCCATGCGCCAGAACTACGGAGCCTGTGCTCTAGAGCTCATGAGCTGCAACTACTGAGCCCACATGCCACAGCTGCTGAAGCCCGTGTGCCTAGAGCCCGTGCTCTGCAACAAGAGAAACCACCACAATGAGAAGCCCGCGCACCGCAATGAAGAGTAGCTCCCTCTCACCGCAACTAGAGAAAGCCCGCGCACAGGAATGAAGACCCAACGCAGCCAAAATAAATAAATTAATTAATTAATTTTAAAAAAAGACTTCAGCTTATCTTTTAGGGAGACACAATTCAACCCATGACACCATTTTTTACTTTTAAGTATCAAGTGCAGAAATTACAAAACAACCAAAAATAAAGGTAAACCATATCATTTTTTATGGTAGATGATTCCACTCAGAAAATATCTGAATATGGTTAGAATTGAGAAGAGTTATTTGGATTTAGGGGAATTCTTGATTTTAGTTGAACACAAGAATGTAATAAAGAAGGATTTTACAAGAAAAGAACTCAAAGGAGAGTATTAATGGGGAATATGGTAAGTTGGAAAGAAGCCTTTGAATTGGAAATCAGCAGTTCTGGAATTTAGTTCATTCCTGACCACTAACCAGCTTAGGATCCTTGGACAACTTGGAATCACTTGCCCCTTTTCTCATTTAATAACATTCTATAACATCTGTGATTTTATTAAAGAGGCTCAGAGAAGGAAAGGGAGGAGCCAGGCAGTGGCCAACAAATGAGATAGAAGACTGTGGTAGAGATTGGGTGTATAAAATGGAAGTGGCGTTGAGCCACCAGAATTGTCAGAAGGCAAGTAGAGAATCAGTGAGGGGAATAAGACAGGTGGAATTATGCCTTTTAACCTGAATGGCCCAATCTAAATAATAATATGCAAGTTCTTGAAAGATGGCTTTAAAGCATGATGTTTCTGTCTAACATATGATCTGCTGAGCTACGTGTTGGGGAAGTTTTGGTACTTACCTCTTTATTTCCCGTGATGATTGTCATGATTTTATTGGTCAAGAAAAAAGAAAACTTAGTAAATTATCTTTACCATATGTGATGGTAATGCTTGGTTTAATTTATACTAAGCTAAGTGTTGTGCTACTTGGAGTTTCTTGGGCTGCATATATATGTGGTAATATTTGTATATCTTGTGTTTGTATAGTTAACTGTCCTATTTTTAATAACCTGAAGGAGTGAAACCCTTACCATTTCCCCAGCTAAAGGTGTTACTTTAAATGTGTTTCTGAAATGTGTCAAAATTACTGATTCATTTAGGTCTACACGTGAGAAAACTACAGTGATAGCAAACACATCAAAGGAAAAAAGATGGTGTGTATGAATTAAGGAAAACAGTTACAGTACTATATACATTGCTGTTTCCTTTGCTTTCAGAGTCTAGTACTGGCATACCTCAGAGATATTATGGTTTTGATTCCAGACCACCACAGTAAAGTGAATATCGCAATAAAGCAAGAAGTTTTTGGTTTCCCAGTGCATATAAAAGTTATGTTTACGCTATGCTGTTGTCTATTAAGTGTAGAATAACATTATGTCTATTTTTTTTACATATACATATCTTAAAATACTTTATTGCTAAAAAACGCTAGCCATCATCTGACAACACAGGGTTGCCACAGACGTTCAATCTGTAAAAAATGTGGTATCTTTGAAGTGCAATAAAATAAGGTATGCTTGTATGTATCATTATAAATATCCGCCCCTTTTGAGATCTCAGTCAAAAAATTTGGAAATTTTCATCACTGCTTCACTTAAAGTAATTATCCTTCCTTGTAACCCATTTTTTCTGCATTCAGAAAGCATTATCTTCCCTGCCAGTGGAGCCTTCTCCATTCCAAGAGAGTGTTGGTTGTGGAGATGCTGCTGATAATAGCTAATATTATTAAGCCAGTCTGCACTAGCGTCTCTTCTGACTGCATTAAGTACATTAGCTCATTGATCCTTATTACAAGCATATCCCTACATATAAAGCCTATATTGCTTTACCCATTTTATGATTGAGGCTCAGAGACAGTCAACAACTTGCTTCAAGATCACATAGTAGGAAGTGGTGAAACTAAGATTCAAACCTAGGTCTGCTGATTCAGGGGCCCAAGCACTTAACCATTGTACTACATATACTGCCTGGCTCTGTTACTCTAATATAAAGGTGACGTGTGCCTTTTATTACTTCTGGAGTTGGATGTTTTACTTTGGTAGCCCCCAAGAAATTTTGAATAGCCTAAAATATTGAATGTAAGGGAGTTCAGCAACAACCTGTCATACCAGCCTAATGGTCTTTCAGAATGAAAGAGCTCTCAGATGCCTCACTTCTACCTGACACTGGGCTCTGTTAAGAGGGGTGGACCCGGGGCTTCCCTGGTGGCTTAGTGGTTGAGAGTCCACCTGCTGATGCAGGGGACACGGGTTCGTGCCCCGGTCCGGCAGGATCCCCCATTGCTGCGGAGAGGCTGTGTCTGTGAGCCATGGCCGCTGAGCCTGCGCATCCGGGGCCTGTGCTCCGCAACGGGAGAGGACACAACAGTGAGAGGCCCGCATACCGGAAAAAAAAAAAAAGAAAAAGGGGTGGACCCAAAAGAAGATAGGATAATAATTTGGGAAGCAAGATACATTCTCAGGCACCATCTTGCTTCATGAAGAAAAGATTGAGATCAAATAGACTAATCCCGAAGTAGTGTCATCGTTACATGTTGGTAAGAGTACACTTTTGGATTAATGGCAGGGTTAGGATTAGAACCCAGGTCTCCTTATTCCTGACACCATGTTCATAGTATCTCATTCATAAAAACTGTGGAAAGGTCTGGAAAATCTTCAGTACCAGCATTCTTTTACATATTTGGAAAAGGATCACTGTGCAGTAAAGTGAAAGAATTGTGGATTTTTAAAAAGCTTTATTTGATTGAAGTCTTATTTAAATAGGTTGTTTGAACTTTAATGAAGACAGTAAAGGAGGATGATTCACTAGAAAGGTGGCCCCTCCTGTAGAAACGCAAGCGTTTATGCTAAAGTCTTGGGTAGGAAGGCTGTAGAGAGAATTTAATATGCTGCTTACAAGATGGAAGTAAATAGCTAATGACTGAAAATTTTACCTTACTTACCTTAGTTAATTTACAGGGTTTCACCTTCTAGTGAAGAGCTATACCTGCTTTTATAAACACTGAACTAAAATGTGCTAAGAGATGTTGACCATTATGGGGATTCAGACTTTACAGATGATTGTACTGGATACAATGTTCTATTTTTCAGAAGTGAATGACTAGTCATCAGTTTATTCATTTTTTTCTTATGTTTATAAATTATCCTAATTTTTGGAATCAATTTGATATGAGTAGACTTAATTTAAATGGTTTTTATTTCCTTTTGATAGCATTAGAGTGCTCATTCATTCATTTGGCAAATATTTATGGAACCCCCTACTATATGTGAGACACTGTCCTGTTCATTGGGAGTTTAGCAGTGAACAAAATAACAAAAATCCCTGCTTTCAACATGAGGATGCAAACAAAAAAACTTAATATGTAAAATAAGTAACCTGTCAGAAAGTGATAAGGTTTGTGAAGAAAAATAAAGGAAGGGAAAGGAAGTAAGGAGTGCTTAGAAGGGAGGATTTCAATTTTTCAAATGCCATATTTTATTGCTTTTAATCTTATATATAATCTCCCCATTTCCACACAGAGCCACAAGCATTACATTTTCAGCTAGATTGTAGTCTGAAAGAGAATAGATGTCAGAACTAATTACAGGGTAAAGGAATTTATAACCGTGCCTGTACAAATAGTTGATCAACTGTAAGAATTTCATACACTACTTACAAAGCAAAAGCAAATAAGCAGTCTTTAGTATTTCAGCAAATGTGGTCATCTTTGGTATAATTATGCTTAGAAATGAGGTTTAATAATGCAAAGAATAAATTAATTACTTAACAAGACGAGGAACATGTGGACTTCATAGTAATTTTCTTAAGTAGATGCTCATTTCCCTGTTTTGAAAATAAAATTAAACTGGGCGTTTTGTCTTGCAGAGTGAGATGCTAGTTATATCCTGTAAATTAATATTTATCTTTATCTTCTGTGCTTTTCCGCTTTGCCTGCCAGGAGAAATGTTCATCCATGTGTATTCTGCTCCTTCCTTTATTAATTATATAAGTTTATTAGCTGGTGTTTATAATCTATTTCATATTTTTACTATTTATTTGAACCACCTTGCCCAGTAACCCTAATTTTTTAAATCCCTGAACAAATTTTACTATCTTACATTGTCTGTTTTTTGCTACAAGGCTGTTTGCAAGGCCTCCAGGTCTTTGTACATTGTATTACTTACATTTTACCCTTCCTCTTTATTTATTATATAAGTTCATCATCTGGTATTTATATTTTGCTTCAGAGCTGTTAAAAAAATATTCATGACACTTGTTGAAGATGGTAAGACAGACTTTATTCAAGGCGGAGGGGCACCTTTATTCAAGGTGTAGGGACCACTGCAGTGGGGTCTTGCAGTGGAGAGGGAGATTAGAGCCTTCTCTGAATACTGAATGGACAAGTGGGAATTTATCACCAAGGAGCAGAGTGGAGGTCAGCGGATAGAAAATTACTAAGAGGAAACATCATGGGTATGGGGGATTCTGACTAAACTGACCTAACAGGATTCTTGTGGAAGGCAGGCCTAGGTGATTAAACATCACCTGGGGGATGGTGGAGAATTCAGAACCTGATCAGATATCCAGAATGATCATATAATGAGAGGGGAGATGGTTTCTACTAAACTGACTTAGCTAGGTTCTTGCTAAAACTGAATTTTACAAAGAAGTGCACAAATGGGCTTAGGAAAGGTTAGGAGTCTGACTAAAGTTTGGTCAAGCAGAGAATCTTTGTCAGTGTCTTGATATGCTTTTTTTCTGGATCTTCCTTTTCAGTCACCCAATTCTCTTTGTATCCTTTTTACAGTCTTTTATTGATCTTTTGCTTTAGGAACATTTCCAAGGATTCTACCTCAAAGATCTGTCACTAGATCTTTGTACCTTCCCCCCCCCCGCTCCGCCCCCGCCATAAACCTATTCTTTAAAAACAACAACAACACTATTTTAAGAGGGGTTACCTTCCTTTGCTACCATTTTTATGATAATTATTCAGTGTTCCTCTAAATAGCAGACTGAAACCAAAGCCATGCATAAATTATTTAAAAAGCAACAAAAGAAGCAGCATTCTCACTTTAAGCTTTTTGTAAATTGGATACTTCATTAATAAGAAAATTTTAAATTGTGAATTGTCAGTAATGCAATATGACTTCCGCTGAATGGCAAAAGTATAAATTCATTTCTTAACTCGTGTAAAGCTCTGTGCTGTCAGGGATATACTCAAGAGTAAATATTTCTAGAATAGTACAATGAATATAGTCATGGGGATGATAAGTCAAGACCTGAGAAATCTTTTTAAATAGTTTGATATATGAAGAAAACATAGGCAGAACACACGCTGACATAAATAGTAGCAATATTTTTTGGATCTGTCTCCTAAAGCAAAGGAAATAAAAGCAAAAATAAACAAATAAGACCTAATTAAACTTAAAAACTTTTGCATAGCAAAGGAAACCATCAACAAAACCAAAAGACAACCTACTGAATGGGAGAAAATATTTGCAAATGATATGACCAATAAGGAATTAATATCCAACACAAATAAACAGCTCATACAACTCAACATCAAAAAAACAAACAACCCAATTAAAAAATGGGCAGAAGACCTGAATAGACATTTTTCCAAAGAAGACATACACAGATGGCCAACAGGCACAGGAAAGATGCTCAACATCATTAATCATCAAAGAAGTGCAAATTAAAACCAGAGAGGTATCAGTTCACACCTGTCAAAATGGCTGTTATCAAGAGGACCACAAATAACAAATGTTGGTGAGGATGTGGAGAAAATGGAACCCTCGTGCACTATTGGTGGGAACGTAATCAGTGAGGTCACTAAGGAAAACAGTGTGGAGGTTTCTTAAAAAACTAAAAATGGAACTATTTTATAGTTCTATTGCTATATTTTATAGCATTTCCATTTCTGGGTATTTACCTGAAAAAACAGAAAACACTAAGTCGAAAAGATACATGCACCCCAATTTATTTATTTTTGTTTGCATCGGGTCTTAGTTGTGGCATGCGTGCTTCTCTCTAGTTGTGGCGTGCAACTATAAAAATAAATAAATGTTCATAGCAGCATTATTTATAATTGCCAAGGTATGAAAGCAACCTAAGTGTCCATCAACAGATGAATGGATACAGAAGATGTGATATGTGTGTGTGTGTATACACACACACACAAACACATATATACACACAATGGAATATTACTCAGCCATAAAAAAGAATGAAAGGGCTTCCCTGGTGGCGCAGTGGTTGAGAGTCCGCCTGCCAAGGCAGGGGACGCGGGTTTGTGCCCCGGTCCAGGAAGATCCCACATGCAGAGCGGCTGGGCCCGTGAGCCATGGCTGCTGAGCTTGCACATCTGGAGCCTGTGCTTCGCAACGGGAGAGGCCACAGCAGTGAGAGGCCCGGGTACCACAAAAAAAAAAGAAAGAAAAAGAATGAAAATTTGCAACAACATGGATGGACATGGAGGGTATTATGCTAAGTGAAATAAGTCAGAGAAAGACAAATAATAATATCTCTTATATGTGGAATCTAAAAAATAAAACAAATTAGTGAACATAACAAAACAGAAACAGATTCACAGAGACAGAGAACAAACTAGTGGTTATCAGTGGGGAGAGCGAAGCAGGGAGGGACAAGATAGGAGGAGGGAATTAAGAAGTACAAACTACTATGCACAAAACAAATGTGCTACAAGGGTAATACTGTACAACACAGGAAATGTAGCCAATATTTTATAATAACTGTAAATGGAATATAACCTTTAAAAATTGTGACTCACTTTGGGACTTCCTTGGTGGTCTAGTGGCTAAGAATCTGCCTTCCAATGCAGGGGACACTGGTTCGATCCCTGGTCGGGGAACTAAGATCCCACGTGCCGCAGGGCAGCTAAGCCTGCGCGCCACACGAAAGATCCCACATGCCACAACTAAGACCCTATGCAAACAAAACTAAATAAATAAAGTTTTTTAACTAAAAAAATAATAAAAATTGTGAATCACTTTGTTGTATACCTGAAACTTGTATAATATGGTATATCAACTATACCCCGATAAAAAATTAATTGTAAATAAAAATAAAACCACCTATAATGCCATCACCATGAGATGTTAACATTTAGTTTTATGCCCTTCCATTGTATGGATCCTGATGTGTGCATGTCCATACTTATTTTGTTTTGTTTTTTACAAAAGTAGAAAATGCTTACACAATGTTGTATCCTGCTTTTTCATTCATTATTGTATCATGAGTACTCTCCCATATTTTTGATATTCCTAGTAACTTAATTTTTTTAAATGACTATATGATGTTTCATTATATAGCACCTCCTACTGTTGAACATTTGGGTTGCTTTGAGCACATTTACTTGATTCTAAGTAACTGTTGGTTGTAAGATCTGCTATTAATTCAAAAGCTTTTTGGAAAAATTATACTTTAAACATGTATATGAAGTAGAAGATTCATCCTAGTTTCAGGAACATTTAAAAGCCAAAATGTGAGTCTTAGAATAATGGAAACACAGAATTGGTTATTACATATATGCTGTGATGAACATCTATAAACCTAAATATTAGACTGTGTCTCTGATTACATTTATTTAGGGTATATTTATAGAAGGGGCAGGTGATGTAGTTGACTCTGCAAATAAAATGGCTGAAAGACATGATACCAACCCTTTAAGCGTTTATAGTAGAGAGGATTGTATAGAAAATAGAGATAAGTAATTATAACACACTGTGATAAATACTACAATTGGAGAGTATAAGAGGGGTAGCTAATTTAGATTTGGAAGAACCATAGAAGACTTCCTGTGTAGCATCTAAAGCTGTCTGAGAGATGAACAGAAGTTGGGAGAAAACTTCATCTTCAAAGGCTCAAATGTGAGAGAGCTTATCCCATTGGAAGCACTGAGGTAGTTGAAGACAACTGGAGTTTTAAGGTAGAAAGGGTGATCAGAGAGTTTAAGTAAGCTAAGAATTGAAAAATAGCTATTGGATTGGCAGTGAGGGCTATAAATGGCTTCAAGAGCATTTTCAGAGGAAGAAGCTGATTTGAGATGAACAAAATATCCAGAGATAAATAAGTAGAGGCCTTACATCTAAACTTTTCTTAAGAATGTTTACATGAGAAGAGTGAAGAAACAGATTTAAATGTAACTATCGAATGTCGAAATAGACCAGCATACTTGTAAGCTGAAGGGCAATACTCAGTTGAGAGAGAAAAATTGGAGATATGGCACAGGAGGTTTCTAATGGAGCAGATTGGAGAAGGCAAGAGAGAACTGGTCCGGGATCCTGGTGGAAGCAATAGTTGTGGCCAATACACATTATACTTTGGGATTAGAAGAAAGATGAGGAGTTTGCATGTGTGCATCATTGAAGTAGAGAGTAGGAAGAGGGAGGCAAAGCTGGGTCATCAGCTGAGTGGAGGCACTTGAGGATAGAGTGAGAGGTTTGGGAATGGGGAGCGGGGGTGGGGGGGAAGTTGATAAAGGGCAGGTAAAGTGATTCATGGTAGTCATGAGGGAGATCAATAACTAATTTGCATGGATATTAAAAGGAAGTGAGAGGGTAGTCCCTATCCAGGTTCGGGGTTCTGTTTTAAGGTGGAAAAGAGAGGAGGATCATTACAGCTACTGTGCATTTTTTAACCTCGGTTTCAACAAAGCATTGATTGTGGTGATAATTGCATATCTCTATGAATATACTAAAAACCATTGAATTGGATACTTTAAATGGGTGAATTGTATGTATCTAAATTACATCTCAATAAAGCTGCTATATATTTTTAAAAAGAATTGATTGAAAATTAAGTATTGTTGGTCTTTGGTTTTCACCAGTACATTCTTTCTATTTTAAAGACAAGTGATCACATTTTTTTGTGTGTGGTTGTTTCTTTTAACCTACCCCCTCTGTTCTTTCAGTCGCTGGGTAAGTCGGAGTGCCACTGCACAGCGCCGGAAAGACCGCCTTCGCCAACATTCCGAGCACATTGGGCTGGACAACGACCTGAGGGAGGTATGTGGGCTGCCTTCCCGGGATGCCTTGATGCAAGAGCTGTGAACTAGGCTTACTTAGCCCAGCAGGTGTCATTGTGTAGGTTCTTTTGTGTTCTTCTAAAAGAATCGGTTCAATTATGTTTTAAAATAGTAATCCTTTTATACTGACATAGCTGAAAGCACCTTTTTTTCCATTTTAATACATCTGAAATAAAGCTGTAAAACAAGTCTCCCTGTGTACCACATCAAGTAAAGGCTAAGCTTAGGATACATTTTTGGTCAGTGTGTCTCCCACAGGGAAAAAAAGCTATAAGAAGCATAGACTTTCTAAGTTTCAAGCATAATTTAAACTTAGTAAGTAAAGATATATTTGCCTGTGCTTTGTCCTTGGCTTGCTGACACCATTTTTAGGAGTGTTTTAAAATTATTTTAAATTGAGATCCTTATGCTTTATTTGTACTACTTGAAAACAAAACGGTAATTACACATTTGAATAATGATAAGTAAGTTTTTATTTTTTCTTGTGATCAAAAGAAAATGCAGTCAGAAGATCCGTTAACTAATTTCTAAACTCAGATGGGTAGAAATAAAGCAGAAAACAGCATTCCAAATATATATATTGCTCTTTGTTGATGTGTTCATGTATATATGTATGATTTTAAACATTTTCTTAAGAACTGAAGCATAGCCTGTCTACTGCTTTTCTTTTGTGCTGCTGTATTTCTTCTCTCCCTTCCCTTCTGCTGTGACTTTATCATATGCATGCTTGTTTTGCTGTCTCTTTCTCCCTGTCCTTTTCTTTTTTGCTTTTCTGTCATTGGCACTTCTCCATCCTCTTAGCCTTCCGGGGAACTTGTGGTCTGTCAGAACTCCATGGCATTCTGGGAGTGGGATCAGGGTCCACCTCCTCCTGCATGGCTTCCTAAAAAATCCTTCTCTGAGTGCTGCCTGGTATGTTCTATGCCTGAAAGTGCTTTGCAGATGTTCCTGAACCTTGTCTTTGGTGTTCCTCAAATCATCCACGTGTATGAGTGCACATAGCTCTAGAATGCCTCACATCACCTTGTGACGTGAACTGTTAGCTCTCCACTTCCTTTTGTGATTGGTACCTTTTCATGGTGGTGTGCGCTAACAAGAGTAATTCTATACCATTGGCAGATAAAACTGATTATTTGAATTCCCTACCAGTGGTGTTTTTGAGGGGGAAAGGGGGGACTAGATTTAACACAATTGTTTTTCTTCCAAAGGGGAAATACATTAAATATTCAAATTTTATTTAAGCATTTTGCAAAAGTGCAGAAGTGATTCATTTTCAAACAGCTTTTCTTTTGCCGAGTTTTATCTCCACAGTCTTTTGTTGTTGTTGTTTTTTGTGTGTGGTACGCGGGCCTCTCACCGCCGCGGCCTCTCCCACTGCGGAGCACAGGCTCCGGACGCGCAGGCTCAGTGGCCATGGCTCACGGGCCCAGCCTCTCCGCGGCACATGGGATTTTCCCGGTTCGGGGCACGAACGCTTGTCCCCCGTATCGGCAGCCGGACTCTCAACCACTGCGCCACCAGGGAAGCCCTCCACAGTGTTTTAATTTACCCTTCCTTATTCCTGGTCTGTATTTTATATGGTCAGAAAATCAGATCATCAATATAGAATCTTAGTGCTAAGAGGAACATTTGAGGTAACTTTGTCCAACTTGACATGATTTAACTGAAGTCCAAGAGGTTTGCCTAAAGTCACATGGACACACAAAGTCAGGGCTAGGCCCACAGGCCAGGCCTCCTTACTCCGAGCCAGTGTTCTTCCCAGTAACCCTGCACACTGAGTTGCACTGAACAGCTACTCACCTGAGGGCCAGAGTTACTTAGGACTCCTGGTTATATTTTTTCCTGTTATGACATATTAGTATAAATTTACTTAACTTTACAGTGGTCTGCTCTTTACAAGCTCCATGCTGGTTAGAGGGACAGTGTGTTTATTAGAAAATTCAGGGAAAGCCTGTACTAAAGAGCAGTTATTTCAGTGTTTACTGAATAATAGGATATATTTTCATAGGTAGCTCCTACTGATTTGCTTTTGGCTTAGGCAAAAATGACGAAGAGCATAGTAGAAATCTCAGAAGAAACCTGGGGTGACTTCCCTCTGTAGGGGAATTGACTTTATTATAAAACCACTCCTTGTGAAAGATTTCTCTTTCTTCTCAGTTTTTTATTTTAAAATACACCTTTTCTTCCAGCGACCCCAAACAAAATCACATTCTTATCGTCACTTGTTTACTGTAAAGGCACTGCTCTATTTTTGTAGTATACAGGGGCAGCCTCACTGTTTGCTGTGAGGAAGGACCTTGAGCCACCCCTGTATCCATTCTGTGCATGTCTGTGGAATGTTGCTTATTTTGTGGCTTCAGCAAAGATGCTCAGAAGGAGAGTTTGCACATGGCCCTGTGGAATTCACTGTTGGCTAATACTACATCTGCCCTGTATGTGCAGGGTGATTGGTGAATATGGCCACTCAAAGGACAGCCCCATTCTAGCTTGCTGTCATTTATAAAATAGAACATAAACTTTAAACAGTGCTTAATTTTTAATCCAATTATTGACTTTTAAAAATTAATTATGTGTATATTTCAGAGAAAAGAAAAATGCCCGTGGCTTCTTCCTAGCCTCTTGCCTGACCATGTACCTCACTTCTTTCCTTGTAGCCAGTGTATTTCTTCCTAAGCCAAGTTTAATACTTAACTCTTGAGAATTGAGTGTTGTAGTGGGTCTCTCTGCATTTGCAAAAGTCCTAAAGATGGAGGAATTGAGGCTGGGGGAGAAACAGAACCCTTTTAACATTTAACAGTTAACATTTGTTTTTACCAACCATTTATCTCTAATTTGTAATATTCCAGATAACATTAGTACAACCTGAAATGATAGGAAATGCAGGTATTATAATCTCATATATGATCCCTGTCTTATATCTCAGGTTTGTTTTTCTGAAACTTTTCATTTCCTGCTTTTATTTATTTGAACCTTAACCTTCAGGATGTTTTGCTAGACCTTGTTACACTTAATTTCCCTAGTAGTGATAATTGACTCTTTGTCAATTTTTCCTCTTTCTTTGACCCTCTAAAAAAGGTTTGAAGCAGAAAGAAGTATACACAACTGTTATAGCAACTAAATTCTTGCAGAGTTCATTTCATTTTTTAATCTGTTCTTAAAATAATTACACTGGAAAAGAGATTATTTTGTTAATGCTGCCTTTCGTCAGGAGGGCTGGTAGAAGTAGAAGGTAAATGGATTCGTTGAATCCCTAATTGGTGAGATTTTTAACAAATTATACTAGATTTAGCAGGTTATTTTTCTTCCAAGGGGGAATGTATTAAATGTGCAAACTCTCTTTTATTTAAAGAATGCAAAGGATTTTACACATCTTTTTCTTATAATATCAAATTTCCCCTTAAGATAGAAAAGATAGACTTCACATATGTATCTGTGGGAGGATGTGCTGGCTTGCAATCTCTCTCTCTCTCCAATAAACTGCTGGTTTTACTATATAATTTAGAGCAATTATTCTCTAAATATGGACCTAAGACACTTAGACTTTTTGGAGATTCTGCCCTGTGGTCCTGATGCAAACATAAGGTATCTGGATGAGCTTTTGCAGGTACCACAGAAAGAAGAGAGACAACAGCTGTCCTGCGCTAATTACGTGTAGTGATTTTTTTTTTTTTTTTCCTGGAAGTTCACTAATCAAAGCTCAAGAGCAGTGGTCTGAGTTTCTGTGGTCCTCTCTGAGCCATCGATGTCTCCTAAAATGATATTTCTGCTTTCTTTTCACTGTGGAACAAGGCAAAGGAGGGATGTAGCAAAATGTCTTGGAAACAAGAGGCCTCCTCCTGCATTTGGAGCACATGATACTTTTCAGAGTGATCTCATAGCTTTCTGTGAGGCAGGTGGGCTTGTTTTATGCCCATTTTATGAATAAGCATATATGCCTGAGGTCACAAAATTTGTTGCAACCATTTTGCAGAGCTCCTGATTTTACTGTTGTGACTTGATTAGAGCAAAGGGTTGGGTTGGACAGCACTGCCCAAGAGGTTAGAAGCATGTCAAGCCTCTTGTTTTGTGGGGAGATGGGTGGAGGAAACCAGTGATCTGAGAATCACTGGGTTCCTGGAGATCCTTGGATTTGTTATTCAGACATGCATATTTTTCCATCCCAGTGTGATCCTGACTAATCACACCCCTGGGTATTCCCAATAAAAAGACTGAACTAGACGAAACTCCATCTCATTTTGAATGAGTTTTTACTTGGTGTGGCTTCTGTCACTCTCCTTTTCACAGGGCTAACAGTAGAGGGGGTAGGAATACCCTCTGCCTCTCGGTGTGCTAAACCTTGAACTGCTGTTGCACGTATACACTTATGGCCTTTTTTTGCATCTTGTTGTTCCCGCGCTTGTTTGTAAGGTTAAGTAGGTCAGAAGAATATCTGATGTTTATGCATTAAAAATACTCTTTAATTTTTAGAAATACATGCAAGAGGCACGAAGTTTAGGAAAAAACCTGAGGCAACCCAAATTGTCAGACCTCTCTCCTGCAGTGATTGCACAAACCAACTGGAAATTTGTAGAAGGCTTATTAAAAGAATGTAGAATGAAGGTATGTATTACTTACTGTGCAGGACAGTGTACATTCATGTTCAGTCCATGTATGAAGCTAAGATGAGCTGAGCCAACCGCCACTTGAGCCTGTAGCTTCCCTAGAAGGACACTTTTACTGGGGCATAAACCTCATGTGCTTGCTCTTTACTGAGGGCATGAACCTCCATGGGTTCTGTTATCCACAGAATCAGTGACTTGGGAGCCCTGCATGGTTTTTCTCACCTTTCAGCCATTGCTATCTTCCTCTCCAACATGACAGATATTAAGCCAGTCAGAAGTTGTGTCAGGGATGTCATCATCTTATGTGAAAGGCAACACATTTTTTTGTATATGTTTATACGTGTCTCTGTGTGCACCTGTGTAGAACATTATCTGTGCTCATATGTGTGTGCATATATCCATAAAGAAGAAGACCTTAGCTGTGTTGTAGGTTTGTGTATATTACACATGAGTCTCCTCTCAGACATCTGTGTTTATCAGAGGTAGCAATACAAATTGACAAAACTCAGAACATCATTTTAGCCAGTAACTTCATTCATTTATTTGACAGTCATTTCTTGAGTACCTTCTCTGTATTCAGTACATGCACTATTTTAGCATCAGCTTACAATGCTGAATCACACAGACAAGGTCCTTGCCTAGAGGAACTAGATTCTCTCTCACTTTACATTTTATGAGGGCAGCTAAGTCTGCTGTAACTTAACTTACTTGAAACTGACTTCCATTTCCTTTCCATTTTCTGGTACATACTCATAGCAGAGAAGAGATGAAAGAGAAAAAGAGGAAGGAAAAAAAGAGGTCTGCTTCACTCACAAATTAGATGGTTCTGAAAAAATTTAGAGCTGCCTGTTTGTATTGTGGTTTTTGCCTACGTGCAATCAAAACTAAGTGTGAATATCTTTAGTGTGCTAAGATGAAGTGTGAGTTGTGGCAGGATGGGGTTTCAGATTCTATAGTATATTTTCTAGGCCTGGTGTAATCCCCCAATGTTATTCAAGTAAGTAATCTGAAAATTGTTGTACATAAGCATTTACATGAGGATACTTTAAAATAGCATCAGAATCTCTCTTTAGTGACTATTTCTCTGACAAAATAGTAAAAGTATACATAATATTACTTGTTAGTTGACCACAGAGATTAAGACACTTTTCCCAAGGTGATTCAAAATCTGCAGTTAGAAGTATAATGAAGGGGAGCCCAGATCTCCTGATCCAGGAATTGGCTTGATGGCTTTTGGGCTGGGGTTAACACCTGTGACCACATGTGATGTTTTCAGACAAAACGCATGTTGGTGGAAAAGATGGGCCACGAAGCAGTGGAACTGGGCCATGGGGAAGCAAACATAACCGGCTTGGAGGAGAACACCCTGATCGCCAGCCTCTGTGACCTGCTGGAAAGGATATGGAGCCATGGCTTGCAGGTCAAGCAGGTAACAGTCTCAAGAGGCCCTGGTGACAGGGTGAGTTAGGAGCTCTGTTAAGAAAAGTAACAAAAAGAAAAAGATATTATAAAAATTAAAGGTTATGTCCCTTTGTCACAGGATGACTAGAAATACGCCACAGGCATTTTAATTCCAGAAAAAGAAAATATAACCCATGATTAGCAGGCAGTTTGGGGCTCTTTTCTGGTAAACAGGAAAAGATAAAACAACACATTCACTGTGGAGGCTGTATCCCCTGTAGATTCCATTAAGTATCTGCTTTCATCACCGTCCAAGAAAAAAAATCTATTAGCCAGAATTAACAGTTCTTTGCCATTTTAAGTTATCTGGTTATTCAAGGCAGAAACATAGATGATTTCTTTGCTTTTGTCCCTTATTTCCCTTTCTTTTTTTTATTTTTCTGTTCATCTTCCTCTCTTTGTCCCCTTTTCTCTTTCTCCTCTTGCCCCAGTTTTCTTCCCTCATTGCTACTGCATACATCCAAACATATTTTGCATACAGAAATACATTCTGTGCTGCTGGAGCCTTTAATTCCATGCTTGCTTGTGTGGCCAGTGTAGACAGCCCTGGTTACATACAACTAAGTAACAACTGGGCTGAAGTCGGGAATTTCCTTGCCTGCACTTCTGCCCTTTGCTTAGCTGCCCTTCCTCAGGCTGTTGCCAGTCTTGTCAGTGAGGCAAAGGATGACCCTCACTTCACATGGAGTGGGGTACTCAGAATGTCACACAGCTAGGAATGGATGAGCTTGGGTCTCCCAGCTTCAAAAAATAGGCATTTCAGTGTGAATAGTTTTGATAAGTTGTTTTTTGATGAATCATTTCTTATAAAATGAAAAACTTTACATGCCTTGTGCTTTCAGGGGAAGTCAGCTTTGTGGTCACATTTAATTCAGTTTCAGGACAGAGAAGAGAAACAAGAGCACCTTGCAGAATCACCAGGTGAGAAGTCATTGCTTGATTGTTTCTACAGCACTGGCAGCAGTGAACCATGTGAAAAATCAGCACCTATGGCTTTGTCTCCACCTCTCTCAAGCTGACGCTCATCCCATCTTGGGGTAAAGTAGAAGGAGCAATATTATGTACTAGCTGTGAGACCTGGGAAAAGTCCCTTGACCTTTCTGATCTTCAGCTTCCTCATCCACAAGATAGGGAAGATAATATTAGCCATGCCAAGGCTGTAGTGTTGATCCAATCAGAAAACATTTGAAAACGTCTAATGAGTTGTAATCATAGATCATACAAGTAGTATACCTTACTCTCACCAGTATTAGGGTGCGGTGTATACTGGTTTTTTCCTTAAATACAAGTTTATTCACATCGTTGATAATCTTTCAGGGGAGAAAACATGTATATATGTTTCAAAAGTATTCAGAAATCAGATTTCTTCTTCAATTTATAACAAGACATCTCATGTTACAGTATCATGAGTCATTAGCTAATAACGGTAAAATAACCATCTGTTTCACAAAATGTAGAAGTAACAGTGGAAAGCCAGTAGAAGTAAAATGTTTTGTACTGAGTCAGCTATTTGGGAACATTTTCTAAAATTATTGATTACTTTAGACATTGAAAAATTAAAAAAAATAAAAAGTTTTATTTTTTTAAAAACTCATAAGCCAACCACCAGCGTAAGAAATAAAGCACTGCAAATATGATTGAACCACCCTATTTCCATTCCCCTCACTGCTCCTAGAGGGCAATACTATCCTAAATGTGGTGTTCATTGTTGGAAACCTAGTTTTTCAATGTATCCAATAAAACAGCTAGGAATATGAATTTGATACTACATTGCCCTGGAGCCCCTCTAAACAGAATGTCAGGGTTCTGATGTCCTGGGATGTAACTATATTTATAAAGATTTAGATTGAGTTTAAAAGCATTCTCTAGTGTCTGTCTATCTCTGTTGTCCATTTTTCTATTGAAAAAGTAAAAATGCATTGGCATAGTCCCTGAAACTCTCTCTAACATTTACCCACGTTCATAGAAGATTTAGCTGTTCAGATGTAAGGCCATAACCAAGGTAGTTTACCCTAATTAGAATAAATAAATTCCTAGGAAGAAATAACCATTTGTGGGATGAAATGTTGCAAAGCCAAGCTCAGTTAAGCAGGAAGGTGGAAGCATTTGACGCTCGTGCTGAACAGGCGTGTGAGAATGTCCAGCTGTTAAAGTGAGCAGCTACCAGGCAACACCAGCAAGTTCATGGCTTTGAATGGTCAAATTGTGGGTGGTTGAGCTACAGACCAGAGACTCAGCTGTTTGCAGGGCCTTTCAGTCAGTCAGTAATGACACCAGTAAAACTCTGAAGTCAAGGCTCAGAAATATGGAATGTGTCAAAGCCTCATGCAGTCCCTGTGCTGCACTGCCAGGTGTCAATGAAGGGCTGGAGATCTAAGAACGAACATAAGCTAAATATTGTACTGATCCTAAGTAGGATTAATGTAAGCTGTGTAGCTTTTGAAATCAAATTTATTGTCTGTTTGAAGGGGTGGGTTTGATAAATATTGCTCTAACACTTCTGATAATTCAGCCCACAAAGTTAGGACTTAAAAAGATGACAGTGTGAAATGTATTTGAAAAAATCAGTTTAAAAGTAAAATCATTCATTTTTGAGAAACAGTGTGTTCTAATTATTTAGAAATTAGCAGTTACTGACTTTAATGATTTTAAATCTGGCTGTTTGTTTTTTTCCCAAAAAAATACTTTTTGTTTGCCAACTACTTAGCTTCCCAATTAATGGCAGTAAACAGTCTGCATCTTCATATTAAGGAAAGATCCTCCAAGTCCTTAGAGATTCACAGTGGGTTTGAAGACAGCTCTTATTAGCATCGAGCCAGGATGAGATTAGGTGATAGATCATTACTGTTCTTTCGGAAGCAGCACTAAACAGGAATCAGACATTTTAAGGGTTGCAGAAGAATGGAAAAGATCTGTCTTAGTAAGAGGACCATAGCAGGGTAGACTGTCTTGAAATTTTTTTAATAGATTTTATTTTTATAGCAGTTTTAGATTCATGGAAATATTCAAGAGATGGTTCAGAGATTTCCCCTGTAGCCTCTGCCCCTACACATGCATAGCCTCCCTCATTATCATCATCCTCCACCCGAGTAGTATGTTGCTCACAGTTGATGAACATACATTGACATATAGTCACCCTAAGCCCATAGTTTATTTACATTAGGATTCACTCTTGGTGTGTTGTGCAGACTGTGGGTTTACACAAATACATGTTAATGACATGGACCTACCATGGTGGTATCATATAGAGTACCTTCACTGTCCTAATACTGGTGTGTTCCTCCTATTTATCCCTCCCTCTCCTCTAACCCCTGTCAACCACTGATCTTTTTAACTGTCTCCATAGTCTTGCCTTATCCAGAATGTCATATAGTTGAAGTCATATAGTATGAGGCCTTTTCAGATTGGCTTCTTTCACTTAGTAATACACATTTAAGTTTCCTCCATGTCTTTTAAAACTGTCTTAATTTTGACCTAGTCAAATTTTGACCAAGTCACTGTACCTAGTAGTTAAAAGTCCTATTTTAGAGAAAAGATCTCAGAATGCAATTGATTCTAGAAAGAGGACTGTTGTTGACATATCACCCCAAAGTTTCTACCTTTAAGAATGTTGACCAGCTTAGACATAGGGGGTGGGGTAGGGTGCAGAAGGGAGTGGAAATACCATTTTAAACAGTTATTCTGGATCTAGCCAAGAATTTGGAGTCACTCTTTAAACGTCTTATCTTCATCAGAGTTTTCTTTAGTTACTTACCTGCCTGTAGACTATAAATGGCTCTATAAAAATAATATATGCAGTCTGTGCTCTACAAACTTGCTGTCTATGCAGTAACATTGATTCAGGCAGAATACAAAGGAATTCCTATGGCTAAGTATTAAATCCATGAGTGTTTATATTGAAGGAGAAAGTAGCCTATTGTATTTGAGTATAGTGAATTAAGAAATACTAGTAGAGAGGGTTCCCTGGTGGCCTAATGGTTAGGATTCAGGGCTTTCCCTGCTGTGGCCCAGGTTTAATCCCTGGTTGGGGAACTGAGCCTGCAAGCC